ATAAGCCAATATATAATAACCAAATGAACACAAAAAGCTTTCGACGATTCCATATGCCGGGTACATAGTCCACTTTGTCATCGAGACGCCGGCGGCCAGGTTGCTTACTGGAACACCACGAGATGGCGTCGTGAGGACGGGAAGCCGACGAGAGGAATCAACAGCGCGACAACGAGAGGAATCGACAACGTTATGGAGACTTGACGACGGGAGGAATCGATGGAATCGACGGCGTGATGGCAAGGGGAATTGACATCGACGGCGAGATGGCGACGTGACGACGGGACGCCGACAACGAGGTTGCATACGGGAAGAGACGGGAAGCCGACACCGGGATCGTAGACGTGGCTTCGATGGAAACTGTTATAGGGTTGGGAGGAGTACTAAATTACGGAAATGAATTTTTGAAAGTGAGGGTTTCTACCTTTTTAATTTTGATCATTAATATCATTAAATTTTTTATTATATTCCAGTCTTACCCTTGTAGGTAGCTAGCTAATGATTACTAATGTTTCTCTCTCTCCTTCTCCTATTGGCTGGAATAGGTTTAAGATCCTCCTTAAGAAAGGGGGTTTAAGGACCTGATCAGACCCGTTTAATTATACATAGATAATTCCATCACAATTTCACAACTTATAAATCCTCATCCAACTCAAATTTGACTTTTCAATTTAAGTCACTATCGTCTCTCACCTAATATTTTGTTATTTTCATAACACCAAAAAAGAACACTAGTATTAGTGTCTCTCAACCTCCAATTCGTCAAATTAAAAATTATCAATGACCAGAACTTGAGATGTTACCTCTTCTCCATTCTTCTTACCCATATCATAGTTCTAAGCAAACTCAAGACTCTTTACTTAGTCTTTATGCCCTAAATTAAATAATAAAATCTATTTTATATATTTTATTATTAATTACAAAGGTAATTAATTTCGTATTCGAAAATACCTATTGGGATAGCGAAATATTTAGGGATTGGGATTGGGACTGAGATTGGGATACCGAAATTATTTAGGGATTGAGATTGAGATTGATTTTAGAATGTAATTCGGTATTCGGAATTTTCGGATATTTGGTATTGTGATACCGATACCGTACCGATTTCCACCCCTACAATATAGTATCTGGCCAAAATCATACATACACATTATCAATTTATCATAACTTTTAAATGAGAAAAAAATCCAAAACCCTCAATCATCAAATCTCCCATCCAACCTTTAGATGTGACAAACTTAAAATTTCATGCGATTCTACAACAAATACATGTCTTTTGAACTATCAAAGGTGTTCAAAATAGACAAATTATTAATATGCATTCAACCAAAACGACTTATTGTTGAAAGCTTGAATAAAAACAAATCAAAATGGCGGGCTTGAAAGTTGAAATTCAACCACATAGAAAAATTTATTCCTAATCTTGCTAAATTGATAGAATCAAATCCCCGAGTGAGACCTTACTGACCTTAATCCCCAAAGTTATAACCCTTCCTCTTTGGACCAATTTAGACCTACCAGTCTATCTAATATGGGATACAAAGTTGTGGCTAAACTCATTGCTAACAAACTTAAACCTCTGATGGCTCATGCTTCTAAAAGTGGACCTTGCAAAGGCTTATGACAGAATCAAATGGAACTTCCTTGAAGAAACACGAAGAGCTACAAGAATACCTGAAGGATGTATTAAGCTGATCATTGAATGTGTCACTACTACCAGCTACCAAGTGTTGTGGAATGGGGGAGAGACTGACAGCTTCACTCCCACCACAGGCCTTAGAAAGATATTCCCTCTCTCACGATATCTCTTTATCCTCTTTGTTGAAAGACTGAGTCACTGCATATCTAGTGAAGTGAATAATCGCAGATGGAACCCTATTAGACTCTCTCCAGGGGGACTTGCTTTGTCACATCTCTTTTTTGTTGATGATCTGGTGTTATTTGTAGAAGCTAACCTCCAATAAGCTATTGTTGTCATGAAGTACTTAGACTGTTTCGTGCTTCCTCAGGAGAGTCTGTTTGTAAGGAGAAGTCTCGAGTGTTTTTCTCTAAGAATGTCAAGAACCAAACGAGGACTGAGATTTGTAACAGACTTGGTGTTTTTCTATAAGAATGTCAAGAACCAAACTAGTACTGAGATTTGTAATAGACTTGGTATACAAATTACCTCTTACCTAGGGAGATATCTTGGCGTCCCAGTGATTCATGGTAGCATTACTAAATCAACGTATAAATACATTCTTGATAGGATCGACCAAAAACTGACAATTTGAAAAGCCAGAACCTTGTCACTTGCTGGTAGAGTCACTCTGGTTGTTTCTATCCTCAATGCTCTCCCTACATATACTATGTAGACCACCTTCCTGCCTGCATCTATTTGTGATGTTATTGATAGGAAAGTCAGAGACTTTGTGTGGGGATCCATAGAAGGAAATAGGAAGCCCCACCTGGTTTCATGGGGAACATTTGTAAGCCTAAAGAACAAGGTGGTCTTTGTCTTAATTCAGCTAGGAACATGAATATGGCTTATATGATCAACTGGGGTGGAATATGCTCAACAGTGGATCTGACTTGTGGGTTCAAGTGTTGCAGGGGAAGTACTTCAACCAGAAAATGGGGAAATCTTGGCTATGAAGAAGAGCAATCATTCTAATTCGTGGAAGGCTATCGTCAAAGGAATGAACTTGATGAAACAGACCACATGTTGGAGCATCAGAGATGGGAGATCAACCCTCTTCTGGATGCAGCCATGGATTGATAATGACACTATCCTTGTTGATCATGCTATAATTGACATCATTGAGGAGGAGAAGGACTCTTTGGTGGTTGAATGGACAATAGAGGAAGGTGAGTGGAACTGGGAAAACCTCAGAATGTACCTCCCTAAAGATATCCTCTTAGTTATTGTAGGTGTGGAAGCCCCTGACCCTGAGCTTGGAGAAGATACTACCTTCTGGGGACTTGAGCGAGATGGCAGATTTAGTTTAAAGTCAGCCTACAACCTGGTAGCTGATGTGGAGGAGATGGAAACTAATGGAAAGTGGAAAGAGCTCTGGAAATGGAAGGGACCAAACAGAATCAAACACTTCTTATGACTTGTCACCCACGACAGACTCCTTACAAACAAAGAAAGGACAAGAAGGAAACTCGCAACAAACAACCAATGCAAACACTACAAAGAGGAAGAAGAAACCATTGACCATATTCTAAGGAATTGCAGCAAAGAGAAAAGAAAATGGGAGAAATTCCAGAGAAGCGATGTCACCAAGAGCAGAAGCATGCCTTTCACTGATTGGCTTTTATTCAACTTCAGACATGAGCCATCTGCTACTGAGTTCGTAATTATATGTTGGCAGCTTTGAAAACAGAGAAATGAAGAGGTGATGGAGGGAAGAACCTTTTCCAGGGATGGCTTTGTTGCTAAGATACAAGTTTGGTTCAACATTGTTCACTAAGCGAACCAGAACATACAGGGACCTGCTCAAGCATCACAAGCTCTAAGAAGGCATGTCTCATTGGCTGGAAATCACTTGAGGAGGGATGGATTCAAATTCATTCTGAAGGTTCAGTACTCTCTTAATGGCAACGATGCTACTGGAGGGTTGTTCAGAGACCACACTGGAAGGTGCATTAGAGCAAACGTTTGCAACTTCGGGGTACTGCTCAATTAGAGAAACTGAGCTAAGGGGAGCGATGGAGGGCTCAAGATTGCTTGAAAGGAAGGCTACCACAAGATATAGCTCAACATCGACTCAACAAGAGCTATCAAGATCATCAACAATATATTTCATGATGACCATAGACATGGCAGCATCGCCAAACAATTTAACCATCTTTTGAACCTACAATGGGATGTTTTTTTTGGTCTCATGTGTATAGGGAAGCCAACTTCGCAGCCGATTACTTGGCTAGCAAGGCACACAATTATGATTTTGGTACACATCCTTTCAATTTGTGCGACAAAGATATGTTCAATGGATTCACCATGATGTAATGAGTGTCTCCCATGAATGTTTTATCATTTATCAAAACTGGGTCGAACCGACTGGTCCGACCACGGTCAACCGGATTCAAACAGCTTTCTGGTTTTGATTGCCTAAAATAGAGAAGAAATGTGGTCGGCCGGGTGTTAACCAGTTCAACCGATTAACCAAGAAACCCACCTAACCCGACCCGCCGGTTTTGGGCCCGTTTTGACCCAGACGTGGAGATTGTCGTTCAGATGGACTTCAGGTTACCTTTGCTGGTCTAGAAATGTACTACTTGTTGACCGCCGTGAACTGAGCCGTCGAATGAGCTGACGTGAGGGATGAAGCGGTTGTTCCCCATTTTTCTGGCGATGGTGAACTTAGTTGAATTGGGTTTGAATCCTCTGTACCTAAAATTGATTTTGAGTGGCTCTAGAAGTGGGAAATGAAAAATATTGAATTTTTTGGAATCCTGAGAATGGAGGATTGATTGGCCAGAAGTTTATTGTGAAGGGAAATGCAGATCTGATTAGTTTATTGGAAGAAGAAATCAGAGCTTGTTAGAAGGGATCGTCTGAGTAGGGTGGATAAAGAAACTGAAGACAGGGGAATGAGGGAAGTAGGGTTCTCACCTACCCTTTCCTTCTCACTTATCCATATTTTTCTTTACTTCATGTTGCTTCACTTTTTTTTTTTACTTCAAATTGATATTAATTTTTTCTATTTATAAGTATCATGGTCAACTTTTTAATCTTAAATTGTTTTATTGAATATGGAAATGGGAAATAGAATTCTCAATTTTAAAATTAGTACCAATTTTTAGATATACCATGAATTCATTATTATTTTATTTGAAAAAGTGTATTACCGGTTTTATAAACGATTTTATACCAATTAATCAACGGGTATCCGATAAATGTCAAACCTCTCGTTAATCCGGGTCACGGTACGATCTTGATCACATTAGTACATTGATTACTAATGTAACTTGCATCTTTCTTTTAAAAAAAAAGAGACATGTCTGAAATTAAATTTCAGGCGGCGTGCGCGTTTTACAGCGGAGGGACTGTCGTTTTGTTGGTTTGGCCAGGAGAGAGCAAGGGGAAGAACAAGGGACCGCGGGATCGGGCTTTTACGGGAAAAAGGAGGTTCAAAGAAGGAAAGGTGGGAGAAGGAATCCGACCGAAAAGGGAAAGAGAAGAAGGGAAATAAAGGTGAATTCGTGATCGTCGCCGCTGCAAGTGGAGATCGTTGGCCGGAAAGAGAGAGCGAGAAAGGAAAACGCTAGGGTTGTCGTAGGGGCGAGCTGCTATAGCCTCCGCGGCGGCGCCTTGTTAAGCTCCGCTGCCATTGTCACCCTTCGTAGGTCGTAGGGAAGAAAGGGGCAAGAGGGACTGGGATCGAGAAGGAGGGAGAAAGGAGGAGCGGGCTGCCGGGCCTCCACTATAGCTACGACAGCCACCAAGCTCCGCTGCACTCGTCGCTGCTGTTCTTCCCGCTTCATATTCATTTTGAGTTATAGAACGTTGCTCTTGGGCTCTCGGATCGTTCAATAGCTTGGTAAGGCTCTTTCCGTGATATGGCGAAATCGAGAATAGATTACTTGTCCGTTAGCTTCTTTTGGCAGAATGCTTTTATGAGTTGGGAGCATTTCTTGTTTGATTGTTGCTTGGTCGCTGCTTCGATCAACTTGAATATTGATGGTTTTTGTGCTCTATTGCTTATGTAATTGGACAAATGGAGGCTGTAATGGACAAGGAAGAGACATGAAGTGGTTTGTTTCTTCCCATAGTCCTCTGCCGAGGAAAGTTGAAAGCGATTGTAATGTAACCGGAGTGCTTGTCCATTGGTCTTCATTATCTTCGAACTTTTGCACCTGTGATCAATAGTTGAAGCAGATGAGATTATTTTATACATTGAATATGATTTGAGGATCTGGGGTTTGTTGTAGTTTTACGTGTCGAGTGGAAGTGTGGTTGCTTTCGTATCTAGCTCCGTACGTAGTTCCTCTGATGTATGAGCTAGCAGCTAACTTCGAGATCATATGGATAGTTTTTGTTGCGAAATTAGTCCTGAATGCTATTTAATGCATGTTTGTGTTAAAAGATATTGTCAGGATGGTATGCATGATAATTTTTTTTATAAACACTCTTCTTTCCCATTAATGCGTGATCATCTTTGCTGGATGTTTTTAGGGTTTTTCTTTTGGTTTGTATTTGAGGAATATTATTCACATATTCGGTCTGGAAAAATTGGATTTGCACGAGTATCTGATTAAGCCTTTTCTGATACGTGACCTCATCCTGGATTTATGTGGTTGAATAGCTGGATCTCTTGAAATATTGTTACAAGCGAGGAACCTTCACAGCTCAATGAGGACTTGGTAGTCAAGCTTTAGAGAAACTACAAATTCGTTTTTGTTCGCAGTTGATTTTCCGATGTGCATCTTATATAGAGTTGTCTATGGGGTGGTTCATGTTGCTTTTGAACTTGATGTGATGTCAGTGTTTGTTTCACTTGGTTTTTCTTTCCTAGTCTTCTGAGTTCTTAAGGAAAACATTTAAGTTTTAAGCTTGCCCTCTTCCTTTCTTGTTTTCTTTCGTTGTCCGTCTCATCCGAGCTTATTGTGAATAGATATCATATAGCTGTAGCTTGCTTTGTTTCTTTACTCTTTTATTCTTGTTAACAAAATGTGATAGGTATATTTTGCCCTCCTCTTTCACTGCATCATCTATGTCTTTCCAGTTTTCTCGGTTTCCTGCAACTGTGTTGGCAAGCCATTCTTTGGTTTTTGTAAATGTTACCTGCCTCTTCATTTGTAAAGTTACATTGTGTCCCTTCTTGTTGCTAATTTTGTATTATGACTTTTTGTGCAGATTGAGATGGTCCTTATGATGTACTGCTAGGCAGGGATCTAGGCACATAGTCTAGTGCTTGCTGCTTGGTTTTACCCGCTTATCACGTAAATGGGCTGCTTTAGCTCCAAGGTACTTAGGCAATTTCCAGGACACGAGGATCCAGTAGCTCTTGCTTCACAAACAGCTTGTAAGTTGCATTGTTTGCCATTTATTCTGTGTCCAACCTTTTTCATAGTCCTGATGTGTCTTCCACCTTTTTCTTCTATTTTTGAGCATTTTGTGGTTGGTGATAATTTTCTTAGTTCCTCTCAGGATTAGTAATATAACAGAGCAAAAGATTCTTGGTGTTTTTCCTTTTTCCCCTCTTCAGTTCCATGGAGAGTAATTTTTCTTCATAATGATTCCCTATGACCCATAAATTTTGCTTCACATTGGTGCTTGTTCTCTCATCTTTGTTGCCACTTTATATTATTCGGAAGTGAAAGATGCTTGGTCTTTCTTTTATGACAGTTTAGCATTTAATTTATCTTAATCTAAAACTATTTGTATCAAGTTTATGCAAACTCCAGATCATACAGTGCAGTTTCTTCATATATTGGGGTTATGCTTTCTAGTTTTGGATTATTGCAGTCTCTAATTTGCTTAATTTTTTGGGCTTCTTAGTCAGTGTTAGTGAAGTTGAAGCACTGTTTGAACTGTTCAAGAGCATTAGCAGTTCCGTTATTGATGATGGGCTGATAAGCAAGGTATACTCCAAGACTAGCATCTGATAGCCTACCTTGACTGCTTTCTGAATTTGTTTGTTAGAATAGCGCTTATTAGAAGCCTCAAGAAGTGACTGCTTTTTGAATAATAAAAGATGCATTGGTCTCTTAAGACGATCCTAGTGTGCTATGTTGCGTATGCTATGTAACTCTGTTTTATTATATGCAGGAAGAGTTCCAGTTGGCTCTTTTCAAGAATAGAAAGAAAGAGAACCTCTTCGCCAACAGGGTAACTATTTTTCTATGGAACTACTGTCTTTTATAGAATGGACTTCGGGAACGGAAAAAAATCAACTGCCTCTGTCTCACAACCATAATCTTATTCTCTCTCCGTTTGTGCAGATATTTGATTTATTTGATACTAAGCACAAAGGTGTGATTGATTTTGGGGACTTCGTTAGATCACTCAATGTGTTTCATCCCAATGCCCCACAAGAAGGCAAGATTGATTGTAAGTTGAAGATGTGAATTTGCAAAAGAAATAATCATTCTTTGACTTGTGAGTTTTACTGATGATGATTATGTCTAACTGAAATCTGCAGTTTCATTTAAACTATATGATCTGGAGAACACAGGATATATTGAGCGTCATGAGGTGTGGTTCCTTTTGCTTTATTCTACAGCAAGTCGGTATCTGTTCATTTCTGTTGTTTAGGACTCATATAGCTACATGAACACTAGGTTTGTTGGCTAAGATTATTGTTTGGTTTTCAGTATAATTGAGTCGCAATTGCAGCTGCGTCTCAATATTTTTTTTCATGTTGTTCTCTGTCCCATTGTGCTACTCTTACTCTTTCCTTCTTTCTTTATTCCTTCCCAAAACTGACAGGTCAAACAAATGTTGATTGCTCTTCTTTGTGAATCCGAGATGAAGTTAACTGACGAGACCATCGAGATAATTCTCGACAAGGTGAGCAGTTGCATTACTCGTCCGATTCCATCTAGTTTAACATTTCACTCGTTTCAACCCTTTCATCAAAATGGCCCTCTTTGATTACACAAACGCTATCCTTTTCTTCCTTCTGGGAGTTTTTGTTGCTAGTCTGACATCTTTGTGTTGTTGTTGATCGATAAGACATTCTCGGAAGCTGATATTGACAGCGACGGGAAGATAGACAAGAACGAGTGGCATAGCTTCGTCTTCAAGAATCCATCTTTGCTAAAGATAATGACCCTTCCGTACTTGAGGTACCTAACCAATCCGTTCTTTTCCTTCTCTGCTTTCCTCGTACGAGGCAGCACGTAATGTTGTTTTGCTGTATTTTTTTTTTTTCTAACTGCAGGGATATTACCACTACATTCCCAAGTTTTGTTTTCAACTCAGAGGTGGATGAGATTGCTACCTGAGGTATAAAAAAAACAGATGTGGAAAACTAAGCACTTCTTACTGATGCAAATTGCAGTCTATGTGAAAGTTTGGCTGTGTTTAGTTTATGGAGATTGAAATTAGTAGTGTTTTTTAGCGGGTATTGATGACGTGGCGGGGTGCGAGTGATCCGATTCTCTATTTTTTTTTCTTTTTTGGTCCACTTATTTCTAGCGTCTTACAGAACTCGGCCTGTATTTGAGCCCTCACCATATACAAAAAAGAAAGATCCATACTTCCTTCATATCGAGATTTCTGTTTCGATGTCCCACTTGTAGAGGTATATAGCCATTTTATGAAGGAACAATAGCTTCTTAACTTATGTCGGCCTACCATTGCGAGTTAACAGAAGTGCTCTTCTATAAATTTTCTGCATGAATATACCCTTCAATTAACGAATATGGCCTACCCTGCTGTTAAAGTTTCTATTAGTTGCCTGGTTAAATGGGATACAAAATGAGTAACTGGTTGTTTGCTTGAGGGCTTTGACGATTGATTTGGACATGTAAATCTATCCATCATGGATTTGAACAGAAATTCATCGTTTGACTTAGGGAATTAGGAAAATGAAATCTGTGGGGCTCGGCTCTTTTGGGATTCAAATTCATGGACTTCACGAATTTGAAAGTTCCACCTCTTGAGGTGTGATTTGGGTGATGTATTAAAATTCATGATGGTAAATTACCTTTCTACCGTTACTTATTTCTCTAATTACAAATTTGTCCTACTTTAATTCAATGGTCATGCAACTATAAAATTTTATAATGTCGTATTTTATAAATATGAGAACTTATCATTTGGTTTTGTAATATCATATTTTATTTAAATATGAATGTGTATGTGATTTGTTTGATTCAACTATAAACACCTTATTCTCATCTTGTGCACTACTATTTGATTGACTGTCGGTTCCAAAATCGGGGAGTTAGCAAGATATTATGAGTTGTAGTAATAAAGCGAACAATTGGTTACAATTGATACATAATATTGCGTACATTATTAGATGAATTGTTAATTAGTATCAAATAGTAATACATTTCTATCTTTGTAGTTGAAATTTCTTTGTATGTTTTGGATTTGTTTTTAATGAAAGATTTGGACTATAATATAGATATAATTAGATAAGGGTAACAAGGTAATTTGTATTTCATATTCACAAATCTAATCAAAGAAAATCCATAATCAAATCCAACAAGCAAACAATAGAGTTGTTCAAATTCACAATACCATCAAATCCATGTTGTATCCATGATTTTCCAAAACCCTCATTTTTCAAATCAATGAAACAAACTACGAAATTTTTTACCTCTTATATTATATAATTATTTTCTTACCAAAAAAGTTACCAATCAAACCATACAGAAGTACCAATGCCACTACCAATTAGGGGTGTACATGGGTCGGTTGGTTCGGGTTTAAGTATTTTAATCACCCGACCCATACACTACGGTTTGGGAATTGTCAAACCCAAACCCACCCAAAAAAATTTAAACCCTACGGTTTGTTTCTAATTGGGTTGGGTCGGGTTGGCGATATTTTTAAGTAAAAACCCAACCCAACATAAAATATATAATTATTATACACCATAAAAATATTTTATAACTAATTAAAATTTCAAACAAATAAACCGATGTGAAATGTATCAAAATTCACAAATGTTGTTTGAGTTTTAATAAAATGAGATTTACTTCAACATATGCCTAGTGTTTTTCACGATATTTGTTGAAATAGGCTAAAAAGGTTATAAACAAATGCATCCATAATATGTTATTCTATTAAAATTGTATACAACAAAAATGATTACGTGAATCATAATTATATTCAATTTATGTCTAAACTTTAAGTCGAAGAATGCATTAGATTAGGGAGACCATGATAGAAAAACATGGCGAAATATCTTAATTTTCACATAAGTATGACTATATACGACATAAATATTTTTTAGATACGAACTCATACTAATAGTTGGAACACGGGTTGGGTCGGGTTCTACGGGTTGTGTAATCCAAAATCCAAACCCAACCCAAAAGAGGCGGGTTGCACAAAAGAAAATCGTCACCCAACCCAAAACCTTCGTTTTAACGATAAATACGGGTGGGTTGGGTCGGGTTGGACGGGTGGGTCGGTTTGCGGGTGTGTTTGTTCACCCCTACTACCAATTAGAAGGAAAACCTAATAATTTTATAATGGATACCCAAATGTTAAGCACGGTATAGATCTAAACAAAACACATAGCAGTTCGAGAAAATTGCCTTCATTTTCACTGATCAAACATCATATATCATATATGTAATTCGAAGTTTAACAAAATGATTTTAGATTCTTTGAGTTGATATTGTGCAAGAAGAGGATAAGGAAGACACCACAGTTCTCCATCTTGGGAAACCTAAACGCCTGGGTTGAAAATTCGTTTGTACCTTCTGATTGTGTTACGACATCTTGATGATTTGCAGCAGAAACGCATAAACACTGTGCAATTAAACAATTTGAAGAAAATAACTTAACTATATTAGGCTAGGAATTTGACCGATAGCTCGAGTTTGAATTTTTTGACTGAAATTACATAAAAGTATAAATATTTGGACTGAAATTGCATACCAAAAATTTTTATTAATGAAAAAAAATAGCACCCACAATTAATATTACCGCCAAAGAGATAAGAGCATGATAAATTCCCATTTGAAGGGAAAATCAAAATCCCTTGCGATCACTTCAACCTTCCGTCTTGCCGCCACTTCAGTCAGCGGGAACCATACCATGGTGCAATTCCACGAGCATGTAATCAGCGAGCTCCTCGACGAACCTTCCGGCGGGATAGGTATCTTATCCTCCGTCCTCTCCTTCTCCCAACTCATCTGTTCCCTTCTCCTCCTCCACGAGCCTTCCCAGGGCTCTCTCCTAATCCTCTCCCCTTCCTCCCAATCCCTAAGGTCCCAAATCTCCCACCACCTACAATCCTCCGATGAAAGCCCTGAAGTCGCCGAGATCACCGCCGAACTCCCCGCGCACCACCGCCTCCCCCTCTACTCCTCCGGCCAAACATGCTTCATCACCACCAGAATCCTCATCGTCGACCTCCTCACAAGAAAGATCCCGGTCACCTCCCTCGCCGGCTTGATCCTTCCCAACGCCCACTCTCTCTCCGAGACCTCCACGGAGGCGTTCATCGTCCGGATAGTGAAATCCCTTAGCCGGTCAGTGTACGTTCGCGCATTCACCGACAAGCCGCACGCCATGGTGTCCGGTTTCGCAAAGACGGAGAGGATTATGAAGGTGCTCTACATACGGAAGCTCCACCTGTGGCCGAGGTTTCAGGTCTACGTTTCCGAGGAGCTGGAGAGAAGTCCGCCGGAGGTGGTGGATGTTAGGGTTCCGATGAGCAAATATATGGTTGGGATACAAAAGTTGATTGTTGAAGTTATGGATGCTTGTTTGAAGGAGATGAGGAAGACGAATAAGGTGGATGTGGAGGATTTGACTGTGGAGAATGGACTGTTCAAGTCGTTTGACGAGATTGTGAGGAGGCAACTTGATCCCATTTGGCATACTTTAGGGAAGAAGACAAATCAGCTTGTTTCTGACTTGAAGACATTGAGGAAGTTGCTCGATTATCTTGTCAGGTAATTCCATTGTTCCCTTTCACTGTTTCAGTATGGGTTTTGAACATCTTAGGAGGATTGCTTTAACCATTCAAGTTTTTTTTGTGGTGGAACTTTTGGCTTAATGCTAGTTTTATTAGGATGTTTTTGGTTGTGTAACTTTGGGTAGGTATGATGTTGTGAGTTATTTGAAGTATTTGGATACGCTTAGGGTGTCAGAGATTTTTCGCTCTGTCTGGATATTTGCAAAGTCGAGCTATAAGATATTTGATTATGCAAAGAAGTGAGTCTATCAGTTGTCAAGGTCAAAGGACATTAATTTGAAGGAACAGACTAATGCCTCAACTGTCAAACGAAGGAAAGTGAGGAAGGGTGAAGATAGTGAAGAAGCAGGCAAGTGATTAAGACATTATATTCTTGTTTTTGTACATGAAATAGCTTTTTATGTATCTGTTGAAGTTGTTGACTGTTCTTTATCCTTCTTTGCAATAGATGACACTTCGTCTGTAAGTGAGGGAGTTGTACTTGAGGAAGTTTTGGCGGAAGCACCTAAGTGGAAGGTGCTACGTGTGAGTGAGTGAGCTCCATTTCTAGGTTGTTTAATATTTCCTTTGTGGTTGAAGTTTTGTTGAAGACTTGAATCATCAGTGTCTGCAGTATGAATCATCAGATAGATGTCTACACTTTTGCGTCTGAAGATTTTAGATTTAATACTTTTTCGCACAGGAGATACTTGAAGAGATAGAGTAAGAAAGAACAAAGCAACAATTGGATGAAGATGCACTTGAAAGCGATGAATTGGATAGTGGCATTGTTCTAGTGGATTGCAAAGATGAACGCCATGAACGCCATGTATGTAGGTCGAAGATTGCTTAGCAAATGGGTCTCTAAATGTTTTTTTGCTCACTTAGAACTGATTTGATGTGTTGTACGTTGTTGCCAGTGGTTCTTGTCCTAAAGTCTATCGAGCTCTTAATTATTATCCTTTTCTATTTTCATGTTGTATTTAAGGTAATGTGAGAAGAGTGGCACAATTATTTGTTGAGCAAAATGGACTTGCATAGCTTCCAAGCTCCACAGGAAAAGAAACCAAAGCCTAAGGAACCGAGAGGAATTGGACTTGTTGAAGGAGTAGTCCCTGTAAAACCTTCCCAGAGCGCAGAAACTGCAAGCAGCATAAACAAGCAGGAGCATGAGGCTCTGTTGGCAGCAACACTATAGATAAGAAATTAAGTGCCTATTACGGACGAGATACCACTTTAGGTTGAAAGTAATCAGAAAAGGAAGGTAAAAGCACCAGCAAATTGTCAGGCATCAGGCAGTAAGATCGATGAGCCTGAAACTTTGCTGGTAAACGAAACTAATAGCGAAATTCTGGGAGGGAAGTTGAGGGGGGCTTCTATGCCAGGGGCTCTTAGGAATCATAATGGGGACCATAATGACCCTGAAGGATTAGAAGAGGGTGCCAAGAAAATTCCACCTTTGTATTTCTATGCTCTGGAAAGGGATGAGCCTATACTTGACATGCTGAAGCCTTCTGTTATTATTGTCTACCATCCGGACATGACATTCGTACGGGAGATTCAAGTATTCAAAGCTGAAAATCTGTCAAAAAAGGTGAAGGTTTATTTTATTTTCTATGAAGCATCAATTGAGTTACATAAATTTGAGGACAATATACGCATAGAGAATGGAGCTTTTGAATCTCTGATCAGGCAGAAATCCATGATGATGATTCCTGTTGATCAGGTATGTTTTCTAAAATATACTTCTTCCATAGTAAGATATAAGACAGCTCTAGACTTGTGCATCTATAGGGAGTTTTCTTCTTATTAATGCAGTTTTTTTGTTTATATTTGCTTGGAACAGAATCTAAATTGTCTGGGTCTAAATTCTTCGGATGAGCTAGAGGCCTCGAGTTCTCAGAACTCTATAACTAGAAAAGCTGGTGGAGGAAAGATGTCGATAAGGAAATGCAGGTTTTCAACACCATACTTTCTCCTGCCTTGTATATTCCAAACTTGTGCGAGTTAGACCTGTAGAACTAATTTTTTACACCTTCTGCAGGTCATAGTGGACATGAGGGAGTTCATGAGTAGCCTGCCAAATGTTCTCACCAGAAAGGAATGCAGATAATACCAGTTACCTTGGAAGTAGGAGACTACATTCTATCCCCACTAATCTGCGTGGAAAGGAAAAGTATCTTTGATTTTTTCATGAGTTTCACATCGGGCCGCCTCTACAACCAAGTAGATATAATGGTACGTTACTTCTCATAGAGTTTTCACAGGACAAGAGCTTATATTTTCAGGTAAGCATGATGAACGAGACTAAGCCCACTTATATAGATGATATCTGGAATGAAGTGCAGTCCCCTTCCGATTTCTTACATTGCAAATTTATTTGGGATCAAAACTGCAGTTTGTGACTGATATTGGGGATGATGTCACGCCCAACAACATGATCTCCAAGCTGTTATTGCTCGCTTTGCATTTCCCCCCGGTTACGAATCATATGGCCCCGAAGCTTGCATGCTACTGCAGAAATATTTGCTACCCTGAAGGTAAATCAGGATGAGCCCGAGCTAGACAAGGTAGTTAGAGTTTGCGTCCCTTCAGAGGAGGGTATTGTTGAAAGCGATGTGAGGTATGCTGCAAGCATTTTTACTACTTTACTTTGTACAATTTTTTACTGACATCATATACTGTTGCACAACATCATTGTTGCTTCAGCTTAGATTTTCTCATGCTCCGCACTTCGCGATAATACTTTGTGCAATCTTATGTGAGCTTCCTGTACTGTGGCTGGCAGAGATGAGAACTACAACACATCGGCTGTTGAATTCCTGAGGCGGCTTCCAGGAGTGAACGACTCGTACTATCGGTTAATCATGGACCGTTGTAAAAGCTTAGCAGAGCTGGCTCTTCTTCCTGCAGAGAAGTTAGCTGAGCTAGTGGGTGGCTAGAAAGCTGCTCGATCGCTCAGAGATTTCCTCGACGCCAAGTATCCTACCTTGTTATAGCCCCGCATATGATGGATCAGGCACTCCTTTACTGCTGGAGCATTTGCTTGTTCGCAATGCGACTTTGAATTTTCAATTTTTCTTGTATTAAAATTGTTCCAATTCGCATGGAGGTTGTTCATACTTCATTGTTTCCATTTTTTTATCAGTTTTCCCTCCAGAAATTCTCACAATGAATCGCTCATTATGGGGCCACCCGTTTTTTCGTTTCTTTTTTTTTTGTAAATATGAGTTAGTCTAAACGAACCTGACTGATTAACAGTATCAACAATCAAAAACACATTGGCGAGGATAGTTTAGATGGGAGAGCGTCATATTGAAGATAGCAAGTTTGATCGGCAATCCACATTCACTGTATTTTTTCTTTCATGTACAAATTCTGTTTGTAGAGGCGTTTTTTATTTACACAATCAATATCTTATATTTGCAAAACATTTAATCTTATCAGCGGGGATAGCTCAGTTGGGAGAGCGTCAGACTGAAGATTTGAAGGTTGCGTGTTCGATCCACGCTCACCGCATTTTTCCCCGTAGTTATGAATGTATTTTGTTGATGATCCAATTTGAAGATCTGAAGGTCGCGTGTTCGATCCACGCTCACCGCATTTTTCCGTTTATTTACAGATTCTGTTGGAAGAGGCATTTCTGTATTTACACAATCAGTATCTTATATTTGCAAACTAATTAAACTCATTGGCGGGGATAGCTCAGTTGGGAGAGCGTCAGACTGAAGATCTGAAGGTCGCGTGTTCGATCCACGCTCACCGCATTTTTTCCCGTAGTTATGAATGTATTTTGTTGATGATCCAATTTGAAGAGGTATTTTATCATTTACCAATCAACTGCACCGGGCCCGCCCCGTTGGGCGGGTAACTTATGCATAATCGTATCTTTTGATAAATGTTGAAATATAAATCAAATTGAAAATAGTTAATTTCTTTTGGTAACTTTTGTAATAAAATGGTGATTGTACAAAACTTTAGCCCAAAAAATGTGTTTATGAATACCTATGAAAGTTTATCTAAAATGGTTGTATGGAAGTGTTTATGGGAGCAGCCGAAATTAAACTTTCCATGCGGATAGAGCCACTCAATATTTATTACGAAGATGAATTAAAAGAATTTATTTGTAATTTTACAAACAACAATAATAAGCAATAACACCCCTAATGTATTGAAAAAATGTTATATGATATTAACGGAAAAAAGTAATATGAAATAAATACTTAGGCCATCAAGCTAACAATTTGATTGATTTTCAGGCCATAGAAAAATGAGACAATACTTGAGCCACCGGATTGAATGATCAGGGAAGTTGGACCAAAGCCCAAGTGTGTACTCGTCATTCACGTACCAACAATCGATCGACTTCCTTCTGGTTTCTAATCCTATCTTAGATTCTCAATAGTTCTACTTTATCTTCCCCGGGTGCTCCAGCGATTCCTTCTAATCCTATCTCTTCATTCTCGCCAATTTGAGAATTCATAGCAAAAAATGAGAAATAGTGCGAAAACGTAAAGGACACGCGATTTAACGTGGTTCTTCCTCACGGTGTGTGAAGCTTACGTCCACGGGAGAAGTCGATGATGTTATTGCTTAGTTCGGCGCTAGGCCAGTACAATGCTCTTTATACCCTATTCGTCTAGTACCTAGGGTTACAGCAGCATACATATCATGGGTATTCAAGTCCTTGGATGACTCGAGCTGTACGTGCACTGCATGGGCAGCTGCGGACCTTTGCTGGGCTGGGTCCTCAACACGTTCTCGGCCCAATACTCCCCCGCAAGCTGGAGCGTGGAGGTCACGAACATACAGCTTGGAAAGAAGGAAACGTAACCGTGCAGCGCCAAGCCCCTTAGTGAGTAGATCGGGTAGCTGAAGATCAGTGTGGACCTTGACGGACAAGATGTGACCTGACTGAACTCGTTCTCGAACAAAGTGACAAACCATTTCCACATGCTTAGTGTGTTCATGGAAAATAGGATTGTTGGAAATGTGAAGTGCCGCCTGGTTGTCACAGTGTAATGGTGTCGGACCATGCTGGGGAACACGAAGCTCCTGTAATAACCAGCGCAGCCAGAGGATCTCGCTAACGGTGCTGGCCATGGCACGGTACTCAGCCTCTGCCGAAGAGCGTGCTACTACTCGTTGCTTCTTTGTGCGCCAGGATATGGGAGCTCCACCCAGACTGATATAGTACCCAGTGGTGGATCGTCTAGTGCTCTGGCACCCGCCCCAATCCGCGTCGCAGTAGGCTGTGAGCTGCAGGGGATTATGATACGGGAAGTAAAGCCTCTGGCCTGGCAATTGCTTGAGATATCGGAGAACCCGGAATGCTCCATCCCGATGCATCTGGATGGGAGCCTGAACATGCTGACTGAGTATATTGACCGCGTATGTGATGTCCGGTCGAGTGATGGTTAAGTAGAGTAACCTGCCAACAAGCTGGCGGTAGAGAGTGGGATCGGCCAACTTGTCCTCCACCGAACCTGTCAAATGGTGATTTTGCTCGATTGGGAAGGCACTGGGTCGCGATCCCTGTGCTCCGGCATCCTCCAAAATGTCGAGGACGTATTTTCGCTGACTGAGAATAACCCCAGTGGCAGTCCGGGCGATCTCGATCCCCAAGAAATATCGGAGAGGGCCAAGATCTTTGATGCTGAAGCGATCATCGAGGAACTTCTTCAGCTTAGTCATGAATGACAAATCATTGCCTGTTAATATGACGTCGTCCACATAGATTAGAGCCGCTAAAAACGATTCCCCTTTCTTGTGGATAAAAAGTGATGCATCTGCTGGTGAGGAACGAAAATTGAACTCTGTCAAGGCAGCAGTGAACTTTTGGTACCAGTTGCGAGATGCCTGACGCAACCCATATAGTGATTTATGCAAGCGTCACACTCGAGTATCACCTGGTGTACGAAACCCTTGAGGAATCTCCATATACACCTCCTCATTAAGATCGCCATGAAGAAAGGCGTTGTTAACATCCAGCTGGTGCAAGTCCCATCCACGACTGACTGCAACAGCAATAAGACAGCGAACCGTTACAAGCTTCGCTACCGGTGCGAAGGTATCATGGAAATCCTGGCCCTCAATATGTGTGTAGCCTTTAGCCAAGAGACGAGCCTTATAGTGCTCGATGGTGCCATCAGGGAAGTACTTTATTCTGTATACCCATTTGGCCGCAATTGCTCGTTTGCCGGGAGGTAAATCTACCAGACTCCATGTCCCGTTCTTCTCGAGGGCTAAGATTTCTTGGCGCATTGCTTCGCGCCAGCGGGGATCACGAAATGCTTGATGGAAATAGCGCTGCTCCTCTCCACGTGTAATAGCTGCAAGGAAAGCAAAAAATTGTGGTGTAAAACCATCATAACTCACACTAGCAGCTAGCGGATAGTGAACAAAATTGGATGTACTTCCCTGTGTTCGATCCGAAGGCAGAGTGGTGTGATAATTCTCCAAATATTTGGGTCTTGTGCATGGGCGGTCACTCTTCCGCAAGGTTGGAATGGGTGTTGGCTGTGAAGCACTATCTGTCGTGTCCTCACCAGTCACACCAACACCTTCGGTGGAGTCAGCACCAGCAGGAGAGGAGGACATCGCGGGCTGCTCCTCTTGAGGTGACGGCCCGCTGGAGTCCTCAATTATGTGCTCGGTAGTTGCGGTTTCAAGTGGCGCTGGTTGCGGCAATGAGGTGAAGTCAACAGCAGTATGATCATCGTTTGTGACACTAAACACTGGCCGAGGTATCCAGTGTAACTCCCTGCTAACTCCCTCTTGAAATGGGAAGACCTCCTCATGAAACTGAACGTCACGGGACGTGACAACCCTACGCGTCTTCAAGTCATAAATTCTATAACCTTTTTGACTTGATGCGTATCCTAAACGTGCCTGCTTGTCCGCGTTCTTCGAATTTATCCAAGTGACCATGAGTATTGTTGTAGTAGACTAAGCAGCCAAAAACGCGCAAGTGGCTATAGGTTGGTTGTTTGCCAAAGAGTAGCTCGAAGGGAGCCTTTCCGGTGGCTACCGTTGGCAATCTGTTGATTAGATAAACATCAGTGAGGATGCACTCGCCCCAGAAACGCAATAGCAAGCTTGCTTGGAATCGAAGGCCCCTGGCCGTATCCAGGATATGTCGGTGTTTTCTCTCCACTACTCCATTTTGCTGCGGTGTGTCTGTGCATGATGTTTGTAGTAGTATACCTTCACGAGCATAGTAGCCGCGCAAAGACTCCGAACTAAATTCAGACCCATTGTCTGCCTGTATGCGTCTCACTTGAGACCGAAACTGTGTCTTCACCATCTGGAAGAATTGCAACAAATGATTCTCAACATCCGACTTATAGCGCAGCAAATATACCCAAACTCCTCGAGTGAAATCATCCACAATCGTCAAAAAATAATGGGCACCACTCAATGACGCAATCTTGTAACCTCCCCAGAGGTCTACATGAATTAGTTCAAAACTGGCAGAAGTTTTAATGGTACTTGACTGAAAAGGGAGACGAGATTGTTTGGCCCGTGAACAGGAGTGACAGGGACCTTTATTCGACGGTAAACTAAAAGACATCAATCGACTAACATATGACTGTTTCTGCGCATGCCAGTTGGCCTTCTCCACGGACCTCTCATGTTGAACGCTGCAAGCCTGTGCCTTCCCAGCTCCAAATAGGCGCAAGTAATAAAGACCATCTCTGAGCTCACCTTTCCCAATCAATTTCTTGGATCGTAAGTCCTGGATGATGCAAAAACCATCAAGGAATATCAAAGCCACGTGGTTATCCCTTGTCAATCTACTCACAGAAATCAGATTACATTGAAACTCCGGCACGTGAAGTACTCGATGCAAACAAAATCCAGGTTGTAGTACGACTGAACCCACGTGTTTTACTGGAATGCTCTCGCCATTCGGAATTTGAACTGGCTGACTATTAACCTGTGCCTCTTTACCCGACAACAAAGACTCATCCATAGTGATGTGCTCATTGCACCCAGAATCAATCAACCACTCAGTAGTGCTAGAGAAAATACCTGCCATATGGGATGTTGGATCATGTTCATCTGTCCCCCTTTTCCTGCAGGCCGAAGAAGTGTTTCAGTTGATTGAGCTGGGCTATTGTGAAACCCGGAACCGGGCTTTGGGCTGCCTCGGCTTGAGAAGCTCGCGGCTCACGACCCTGCTGCTCGACCCTTGCACCATGACTTGGTTCTCTAGGCCGACGTCTGGGTTTTTCGCCTTGTCTATCTTGGCGATCACCTCCTTCATGTCTTTCGCTTTGCCTGTCCTGAGGCGGATACTCGATCAATTCCCAGCAAGCTTCCTTGAGGTGTCCTGTCTTCTGGCAATGAGTGCAGCGAACCCATTCGCGTTGCTCCCCCGTTCCACGAGCCGACCAATTATTTT